GTGCAACCATCACCACCATCAGTTTTGTAAAACGGAAACTTTATACCCATCAAACAGTAACTTCCCACTCTCTTCTTCCACTAACCATCATTGTACTTTCTATGTCTATGAATTTGGCTAGTCTAGATATCTTATGTGAGTGAAGACATCCAACATTGTCCTTTTATTCTGACTTTTTCACTTAGCATAATATCCTCAAGTTTCATCCATATGATAGCATATTTCAGAGTTTCTGCCCTTTTTAAGACTCAATAATATTCCATTGTATGTACACATTCCATTTTTGTTTATCCATTTATTTATTGATATACATTTGAGTTTCTTCCGCTTTGGGGCAATTGAGAATATGGATATGAATGTGCAAATATTTGTGTGTATACCCAGAAGTGGAATAGTTGGATCATTCAGCAGTTCTTTGCTTTATTTTAATCCTGATGCTTCTTAGCAGTTACAAAATAATAACATTCTATAAATATTTTAAGACGGGGAGAAACTTTTATAACTCCTTTCTGAGAATGGTGCCTAAAATCCTTTCTCTGCAGATAAACTCAGCTGGTGATGCAGTACAAAGTGGATTGGGAGCATATTGAACTCTGCTGCAGATCGTGAGTGGGGTGAGCCTGACTTTCATTCTACCAGGACTGAGAATGCTGCACCCCTTCACTGTGAAAGGGAGGGTCTCCCCAGGTAGGCTCTGGACACTGGCTGGGGCCTGATTCTGGGGGTACAACTGGATAAGGACACTGAGTTCCATTGATCAGAGGATCTTATGCCTTCTATTAGACACAGACCTCCTCTGCTGATAAGGAAGTGGAGGGAGAGGAAGCTTCTGAGAATGAAAAGTACCATCCTGTGATTATCAGTGAAGAAGGAGCCCAGGGGAGGGGTCTGCATGTCTGCCCAGCCCCACCCCACTGTACTTCTCTGAACCATTCCTGCCCCTGCAACACTCACCAGTGAATAGAGAAAAAAGGATGTCACTTTATACTCTTATGTTGACCCCAATGCAGGAAGGGAATTCAAAACCATGTCCACTCTGTCACTGTCTGCACCATCTTTAGCAAACAACTTTACCTATGAGGCCTTCTTTGTCTGGACAGCAAGAGGAGTAGATGGTGACTAAGGCCCTTCCCACCCCCTTTTCTTGGTGGGAGAAGGGTTTGAACTCAGGGCTTCCCACTTGCTAGGGAGGTGTTCTACCACTTAAGTTATCCTGCCAGCCCTTGGTTTTGAGATAGGGTCTGCATAACTGCCTGGCTGGCCTAGAGCTTGGGATCGTCCTTCCTCTGCCTCCCGAGAGCTGTGGTTAAAGGTGTGTGCCACCACATCCAGCTGTAATATTTTTATTTGTTTTGTTGAGACAGGGTCTCTCTATTTAGCCCAGGATGTCCTGGAGTCTCCTGCCTCAGTTTCCTGAGTGCTGGGATAATGCACAGTTCTTTAGCAAACTATAAGAATCTTAATCTTAGCCAGGTGCTGGTGGCCCATGCCTGTAATCCTAGCTACTCAGGAGGCAGAGATCAGGAGGATCTCAGTTTGAAGCCAGTCTGGGCAAATTGTTCATGAGAGCCTATCTGGAAAAGAATCCATCACGGAAAAGGGCTGGTGGAGTGGCTCAAGGTGTAGGCCCTGAGTTCAAACCCTAGTACTGCCAAAAAATAAAAACAATAACAAAACAACAACAACAAAAAAAACCCAAAACCCCAAGCTTAATCTCTTCAGGTCAAAGGTGAGGGAGGACTCACTCTGTCGGCTCAGAGCTTCTCCCTCTAGGGGAGATGGAGGGTAACTGCAGGACTGCAGGGACACTAAGGAGGGAGAGGGCAGGAATCTGGGAGGCCCACAGAAACCCATGTCCCCAAACCAGGTGCTTCTCCTTTATTCTCCCTTCCCACCAGTGCCTGCTGCTGTAAGGGGTAGACGGATGTCCTCGGTCCTGGGCCCACTGAGCCCTTCCTCTGTGAGAGTCCTGGGCCTGGAGCTAGACTGCAGCCTTGAGCTGTCAGCAGCTGTGGAATCTTCAGCAAGTCACTTCACCTCTTTGAGCTTCAGTCTGCTGACCTGACCATACTTCCCAGCCCTCAGGGTTAAAAAGTTCAAAGGTAATTGTGTATGTGAAAGCAGCTTATAAAGCAGTAAGGTGACCCAAGAGAGGTGCCCTGACCCAGGCAGTTAAAGTCCCTGTTTCTTCTGCTACGAATCACAGCACTGTGTCTGGAATCACTGGGCACAGTGTGCTTCAGCCCTGTCTTTTTTCATTTCTGTTTTCTGCAGGCGGATATCCTTATTCTCACTCGAGATTCAGCCTGGCACTCCAGCCAGCTCCATGTTCCCTTTTCCTGCAGGCCTGAGTCTTTTCTTCCTGGGGGTGAGGAGCCAAGTCGAAGTTGAGACACCCCCCCACCCTGCGCTGGCATAAGAAACCAGTTCCGGGTGAGGGCAGGCCAGACTGAATTGTACAGGTGTGTTTCCTTCCCAGCATTATCAGTGTTTTTCATAAACTGGGACACGGGCCTGAGAATTTTGAACTTCTATTCAATATAGAGCTCAGATGGGGTTGAAGAAGGTCAGAGGACTTTCTCAGAATCCCAGGGGAGGTCACGTCTTCTACACAAAGGTCCTCAGCACGTGCCAGGTCCTGCCCAGCAGTGGAGATGCAGAGGTGAGTATTATGGCGTGGCAGGGAGGCAAGAATGGTAAACAAAGTCAGCATGGGGTTTTGACGGAGTGCAGAGACCAGCTGTGTCCTCAACCTTGTGGATGATGGAATTATTTATTTTTTTAAAATAAAGTCTCACTATATAGCCCAGTCTGTCCTGGAACTGGCTATGTATCCCCAGCTGTTCTGGAGCCTTTATCTTCCTGCCTCAGCTTTCTGAGTGCTGGGATTACAGATGTACCCACCATGCTCATCCAAGCCAAGTCTTAAGGGTGAGTAGTATATAGGACAAAGGAAAGGAATGCCTGGCAGAGGGAATACCCTGAACAAAGGCATGGAGGCTAGAAACCATAAATAATATTGTAGAAACAAAATTATAGTCAGGCACTGGTGGCTCACACCTGTAATCCTAGCTACTCAGGAGGCAGCGATCAGGAGGTTCACGTTTTGAAGCCAGCCCAGGCAAATAGTTCCACAAGACCCTATCTCGAAAAACCCTTCACAAAAAAAAGGACTGGTGGAATGGCTCAAGGTGAAAGTCCTGAGTTCAAGTTCCAGTACCACAAAAAAAGAAACATAATTAAGGCATGGCATCTTTAGTGTGAACCACAGCACTAATGATTTGAATCTTGTTGCCCTTGCCTTACAAATCAGTAAATGGAGACTCAGAGAGTTGCATAGCCAGCAAGAGCAGATGGGTGAGAGCTGCATCGGCCTGACTCCAGAGCACAGGCTCCAGGAGGGTACACTCTGGCACAGATGTGGGCAGAGAGATGCCTATTCTTGACTTCTACAGTCCTCTATTTAGCTCTTCTATCTGAGCTGCCAGTTTTCTGCAGTCTTCCTGCGTCAGACTGTCAGCTTGCAGTTGCTCTCCAATTATTTTCAGGTCTGCATGTGCCACAGAAAGGAAGGGGCAACCACAATGGGAACCACCTCCAGTCCTGCTGCAGCCCCATTTTATTTTACTTTATTTTTTTTTTCGCGGGACCGGGGTTTGAACTCAGGGCTTCACACTTGCTAAGCAGGCGCTGTACCACTTGAGTCACACCTTCAGTTCATTTTGCTCTGGTTATTTTGTTGTTTGGTTTTTTGGTTACTGGAGTTTGAACTCAGGGCCTCGATCTTGGTAGGCAGGTGCTCTACCACTTGAGCCTGCCACCAGCCCAGCTCTGGTTATTCTGGCTTAGTTTCTTTTTCTTTCTTTCCTTTCTTCCTTTCTTCTTTCCTTTCTGTCTGCAGGCCTGGCTGAAGCAAGCCCGCCCAAACTAGCCCCGTCATTCAGTGGGTCAGTGCATGTCTGTTTTTTTCCTGGCATTGGTGATGGGTAGTTCCCACAGAAAGATCTAGATGTGTGGGGTCCAAGGGCTGCATTTCAGATTTTCTGTCCTTCTAGGCAGAATCCTCTCCATTTGGCGATTCCATCAGGCCACAGCCATTCTAGCTGCCCCTGGACTTTGATCTTCTACTCAGCATCAGCCTGGAGCCCAAAGTGAAAAGCACATTCTAATGAGCAGTTGCCCATCCAGAAGTTTCTCAGGCTAAATCTTACTTCAGCATTTTTCTTTCTCTCCAAACTTGGCTGTGAAGCCACCCTATCAGCTTCAGCAACTGCCCCCTCCCCCCAGGGGGTCCCTGTGGTTACTCCTGAAAGCGAGCCTTTGTCAGGTCAGTAGGATGGACAGGCAGCCCCTATGGCCAGGTGCTGAGATGTCATCTCAGGAATCTTTGTAGTAGCCCTTCTGGCAGAGACTCTTATCTCCATTACACAGGTGAGGAAACAGACTGAGAGGTTCTGATCAGGAATGGCAGACACAGCAGGTGGTCTCTCTGTGGGACTCCACAGCCTGGCGTTTTTTTGACTTTTTGTTGCAGCCTGTGAAGGGCAGTTGCACAGTGAGTACTTAACCTGTCCAGTAGTGAGTTTTCTGCTGCCCAAGTATCACCTTACTACAACTAAATCAGAATCTCTCGGGGTCGAACTCAGTTCTTTTAGGGCTCCCCAGTTGATTCCCGTAGACATCCCGGGTTGCCAGGTATGCCACTGTAACGGTAAGAGGCACACCGCTGCCCCCTCTCCCTCTCATCCTGCTTACAAAAGCAAAAGTCAAAACCGAGGCAGTGGTGGTTAATTCCCCTTCCCTGATCCACGTAACCTGCGGAGCCCTCCCCGCTCAGGTGCTGCGCCACTGCAGGAAGCCACCCCCTCCGGTCGCGGGGTGCGCGGGGCGGGTGCGCGGGGCTGTTGCGCCATCCGCCCCGGCTTTCGTAACCGCACCCTGGGACTTGCCAAGAGACGCTCCAGCGCGAGTTCCTCAAATGTTTTCCTACGTTGCCAGGACGGTCCACTGCTCTGAGTCATGTGCAAGTGGGAAGTTACACTGACACAGAGCCGGGCCAGAGGGAGCCGGGCTGAGCGCGGCGCCGGGCCGAGGGACTCGTAGTGCCGGCTGGGTGTAGAGCCCTCGGGCATGGCAACTGTCCTGGGAGCTTGAGCCCGCCCGTCGTCCCGCCCTGGCCGGCCACTTATAATCCCGCCACCCACTCTGTCCCTGGGACCTCAGGGTGTTAGCGGAGAAGGAAGCATGCTGGCCGCCTGCTGCGCGCTGCTGGTCGCCCTGCTCGCCGCGCCGGGGGCGGCGCTGACTCCCGGGAGTTGCCGCGCGCTGGGTAAGGAAGGGACGCGAGCGCACCTGGAGGGTGGCGCAGCCCTCGGATGGGGAAACCGCCGTGGCCGCGGAAGACAAGGGGGGAGGCTGGAAGGGGAAAGAAGAGGAGACAGCTCCTCGTTTCCGTGGCTAGTTTGGGTCTCGGCTGGCACGGGTTGACCAACTGTGTGGATGCGGTGGTCGTGGTTGTTCGTGCGCCCCCTGCTGCGTCCTGTGCCTTTCGTGGTGCTCTGTCTGTGAGACGCTCTTGGTGTCCGTGTACAGGGCTAGATGTGTTCTCGGAACCCTGACTGTCGTGTGCCCTTGGAAGTGCCCCATGAGTCCGTACACAACTGCCTCCTGGGTTTCTTCAAGGGGAGATGCCTGAGGGGGCGCCCTAGCGGTGTGGTGTTTCCTTCTGGGGCGTCCTTTGTTCGCTCCAGTGGGGGCACCTGCCTGGTTCTACCCCACCCCCTTGGGTGTACGTGTGAATGACAGTGCCCTGACTGTCAAGGGTCTGACATCATGGGCACTGAGTCACAGATCCTCTGAGCACCAGCTCTGGCAAGTGCCCTCGTCCTGGGAATTTGAGTGGACAGTAGGGACTGGGACCTTCTGGGACTGGCCCGCTGGACAGCCCTTCCAGACATGAGGGTGGAGGGCAGTGCAGGAGCACTGTGCTCTTCACTGCACTCTGCCGGGCACCAGGCCTTTCTATGGGCGCTGGCTGTGTGCCCAGCTGCCTGTCTGGTCTCTTTTCTAGAGGAACTGGGTAACTGCTTCTCTGGAGGTTTATTTTAGGGTCTGAGGACTTTTTGGAGGACACAGTGGAAAACTAAGGGGCAGTGGGCAGTCTTCAGGAACAGATGGCTGGGGAGGTAGTGACTCTGATCTCCACTACTTAGACCACACTGTTGGATTTCTCACTGTCCAGGTAGAGGCTTGGCTAGACTGTCTGCGGCTCTCTGATTTCTGGATGATTGTGGACCTTGAGCTTGGAAGAGAAAAGGTCCTGCCAGTAACTGCCACTGTTGATTGAAACCTTATGTGCTTTACACATCTCCCCACCTCCTTTTCTCTTCTCTTCTTTTTCCCTCCCTCCCCCTCTCCTTTTCTTCCTTCCTTTTTCTTTTCTCTTCCTTGTTTCAACAAGGTCTTGCTATATAGCCCAGGTTCGCCTTGAATCCACGATCCTCCTCAGCCTCTCCAGTGCTAGTATTACAGGCACGTACCACCATGGCCAGTTCTTTACACATTTTCTAAGCCTCTACTGGATTTACATCAAACTTTGAAAGAAGAGGTTCAGAGCTGTTGGCATGACAACTTGTCAGGCCCAGTTGGAGGCCTACCTCTTCCATGGCTCTGTGATCTAGTGTGGTAGATCCCTAATTCTTCCAAATGTAGGACTAGAACAGCAGGCAGAGCTGAGTGTTTGGGGGCAAGCTGAGAGATATCCTTGTGTGGCTGAATGCTGGAGCAGAAGAAGCTGAAGGAGGGGAAGTGGAGGTTCCCACTTGCCCATAGTGGTCTCAGAGGGAAGGAAGGCAGGGCTGAGCCTGCCTCTGCCTCAGGAGGGAGGCCATGGGGCTTCCCTACCTGCCTCAGTTGCTACTCTCACCACAGCCTGGGGCCAGCCTCTGCTGTCTTTGGCTCCTAAGTGGTTGTGAGGGACTTTGAAGATTGACTTTGCAGTCAGTTCTATTTCCCTGGTGCTCAGAAAGGATGGCCAAGGGGCTCTCGTGACCTGGACAGCCTGTAGAAGGCAGAACTGAGAGTTTGGGGAGGAAGTGAAAAATCCTCCCAGCTCAGAAGGAAAATGCAGAGAAGTAGAAAACACCAGCTCCTCTCCCACACCCACACATACTCAGCCCACAAACTGGAGAGCAAAAATAAAAAAATCATCCAGGAAACATGGAGCAAATGACTGTGAGGCGTATCGCTTTAGAGAAGTGAGGGGCAGAGGGGGTAGCAGAGGCTGGAGCTGGCTTCTAGGGGAAACCCGCTGGCTGTCTGGGCAGTGGGGTTCTCAGAGCCAGGACCAGCTGTGGCTCCCATGTCAGGAGCCCCAGGACCCCTCAAGTGTCCTTGTTACTGAGGGTCCTGGACTAGCTGGAATTTAGGCTTCTTCTGGCTCCAGCATTCTAGGAGCGGGGCGTGCAGGACCTGGGCCAGGATGACTCAAGATCCCTCCTTTTGCCAGGCAAGGAAATCCACAGAACAAGCATATTCACCTGAGTTCCCCAAGTCCCGCCTCCACGTGTGAATTTCCCTTTAGGGCAACTTCTTGCTGGCCTCAAAACCTACCTGCATTCCTAGCCTCACCCTAATCAGGGCTTCTCAGGAGGATAGTTCTGGGTCCAGCAACAGATTTTAGTTGGGTGGGTTGGGTCTTGGTAAAAATGATGATTCTTGGCCCTTAATCCAGCTTTATTAAATACGAGTATCAGAGAGTGAGTCCTGGAATTTTTTTAAAAAACAGACTGCACTGTGGGGATCGAGGACATCACCTAACTGGTGTGACTGAGGAACTGAGTAAAGGCTCTCTCTCCCATCCTTGCCAGAAGTCTCCCCTGCTTTGGCTCTGTCCCTTGTTTATTATTCTCAACAAACATTTACTGGGGCCTTATAAAGCCCATGAGGGCTGTGTGCGATCAGCACGCACTCTCCACCCTAGAGCTTGAAAATGGCCAAGTGTAAATCCTGAGGAGGAGGGAGAAAATCCAGTCCCTCTGACTTGGAACCAACTCCCCAGGGACACATTGTCCAGGAAGGGGGCTAGAGAGAGGAAGAGTCTCTGACTGAGGACCAGGACCCCATGGCAACAGGAACACTGCCCCTGAGTCCACTGCCTCACCTGGATCCACAGCAAGTTGGGAGAACAAGCGCTCCCCTCACTGGGGGCTCCTGAGCTACACAAAGTACAATAGGTGCTCCTGCCATAAACAGGTGCCCTCACTCTTCTCACCCCTTCCCTGTTGCTCCAGGCCTGCATGCCACAGGGCAACATCAAATCTAGTCTAGGTCTAAAACTGGGTTGCACTGTAGTCAGTGGCCATTTGTGCTATTAATTTAGATTAATTAAAATTAAATCAAATAAAAGCTTTAGTTCTTTACTTGCATCAGTGAACTTCAAAATGCTCCATAGCTGCCTGGGGTTAGTTACTGCATGTTTCTGCCACCCAGGAGAGTTCTGCTGGGCAGTGCTGGGCTAGAGTGCTAAGCATTTTCTTCCAGAGAGTTCTGCTGTTCTTTTCTTTACCCCTCTCCACCTTCTCTCCCCAACCTGAGTATGGTTCATCCTGTACAGGTGATGGCTGGGGATTTGGAGCCAGACAGATGTCTGCCTCACTCTGTAGAAATGGTGTATCCTTGGGCAAGTGATTTAATCTCCCTGTGACTCAGTGTACTCATCTAGAAAATGCAAAAAAATTACATATTTGGTCCTCCGTAGCTGCAGGTTCTATATCCGGGGATTCAACTAACCACAGATTAAAGGTACTGGAGAAAAAAATTTGTGTCTGTATTGAATATGTACAAATCTTTTTTTCTTGTCATTATTCCCTAAACAATACAGAATGATGACTACTTCCAAAGCATTTGCAGTGTGTTAGGTATTATAAGAGATTATCTAGCCATGATCTAAAGTATACAGGAGGAGTGCTTAGGTTATACGCAAATACGTCAGCATTTTGTATAAGGGACATGAGCAACCTCTGTTTTTGGTGCGGAAGGGTGGTCCTTGAACCAGTGAGGACACAGAGATGACTGTACTGTCTCACAGGTCAGCCATGAGGATTAAATGGGCTAAGGAAGGCATTAAACAGGGTGTCAAGGAAAGTCCCCAATGCTGAGAAAGTGCTTAAGTAAGTGAAGTTAATAACTTACTCATTCTGAAAATACATTTTGAGCTCCTACAATGTTGCAGGCACTATTCTAAGAACTGAGATACAGCAGCGAACAAAACAGACAGAAATCCCTGGAGTGTCCTAGCAGGGGCAACAACAGGGTATAAACTAAATATACAGTATGAGGGTGACAGTACTGAAGGGAAAATGGAGAAGGGGAGGGAGGCTGGCACTGTGTGTGTGTGTGTGTGTGTGTGTGTGTGAGGGCCAGTGGAATGTAGAGTTGACATTTTGGGAAAGGCCAGGAAAGACCTCCCTGAGAAGGTCTGAAGGAAATATGAAGGTATAAAGGTATTTAGAGACTTCATGTATTTGCATCTTGGGCAGAGAAATTCCTGCCTCTCCTGTAACACTAACCTACTACTTGAGAGGGCCTGTTACGTTCTGGGGAAGAGGGCCATGTAGGGGCACACAGATGTATCCTGCTCTGGAGAAGTTTAGGGGTGCCTCTGAGGAAAGACTTCCATCATTCAGCCCCTTGGATACCAGTTGAGTGTGATAAATTTGAAACATCACCTCATTAACTGCAGGTGAGGTTTGAGTTTTTCAAAGAGCAATTTTTCTCTCCTCCCCTCTCCTCTCCTCTCCTTTCTTCACCCCTCCTCTCCTCTCCCCTTCCTCCCCTCTTTTCTCTCCTTTCTTCCTTTCTCCTTCCTTCTTTCCTTCCTTCCTTCCCTTTCTTTATTCCTTTCTTTCACTGTGCTGGGGATCAAACTCAGGGCCTCATGCATGCTAGGCAAGTGTTCTAGCACTGAGCCACACCTCAGCCCTAAGAGCAATCTTGAGGACTAGAAGGCAAAGGAAAGATGGCAAAGCAAGCTTTAAGGACCCTCTATCTGGGGCTGGAGGTGTGACTGAAATGGTAGAGTGCCTGCTTCATAAACACAAAGCCCTGAGTTCAAACCACAGTACCACCATCACCCAAAATAAAAAGATCCTCTGTCCCCCTGGCAGTTCTCTGGGGGTGTTCATCATCCGTGCTCTGTTCACCATCTTGCCTTGAGAATCAGAGCCGTCAGAAGTCCCTGGCAGAGTCAGAGCCTTTTCTGCCATGCTCCTGGAAGCAGACTTGACTTTTAGCCTAACCTCAGCAGCCTTCCCCTCTCTTCTTATCCCT